AGGGAACCTCCTCAGAGAATCTCCTCTTCCTTTGCTTGCTCTCCACTGAGGTCTCTACCATTCCACTTTCCAGTGGCATAGGAGCTGCATTCAATCCCAGAGGGTCTGACTAAGAGCATCCAAACAGCAGTACTCATTAGTTCATCAGCTGTTACTGCAGAGTACCAAAGGCAATAAGTCCTTTTAATTTTCCTTTGCACCACCCCCAGCTCCCAAGCGGACAAAAGCAATGACACTAACACACCTGCAGAAAGCTAAAAACTTAGCTTTTAGACTTGTGTCTGAACCATTTATTTGGTCTGTTAGTTTGAGACTGAGATGAAAAAAATGCAACACAGCTCCCCCACGGCGAGTTTGTTTAAGCAGTGCACCCGAATGAGGAACAGTGCATTGTGTTTCATCAGATCCCAGCCACGCAATGGATGGGGAGAGGAGTTCTGCAGATACAGAAGGCCCTCCCACACAGCCAATGCCACGTCCCAGAGGAATATCCCAGTGTGAGCACAGCCCCTGGACACTCGTGCTTACTCACAATGACATCGTGCTGTCCCAGAACAGGCATTTCCCACAGGGACTGGTTGGTGAAGCGATTGAAGTAATACGGGCGATTCTCCCTCTTGCTCCAGCACTTCTCCCAGCCAGCCTGCACCAGCTCATCTGAGCACACAGACAGCCAGGATAAGGTCAGTACTGCAACGCTCTACCATTCAGGTCCCCATTACCACCCCTGCACACCGCAACAAGCCTCGTTCCTGAACTCTCTCAATAGCCCCACTCCACCTTCCCTTCCCGGCTACTGGGGCCCTTCAGAACCCTGTGCTGGGCTTCCTCAGAAGCAGAATCAGTACCTGGGAGGTCCTGTACCAGTCGCATGGGTTTGGGGGAGCTGGGCTGGTTCTGGTTGGAGGTGCCAGGTGAGTGACTCATTAGAGATGCCTCCTCCGCAGGGCTTCCGTGATTCTCATTGGCCATTTCTCAGCAACCACACTAGAAAAGTCAGACAAAAAATCCACGTCACAGCAGGAAAGATCCCAGAGCCACCTGGCCCACTCAAAGTTAACTGCCAGTAAAATGGGCTTGAACCAGTACATACAAAATAAGACCTAAGTCCTGAAAAATACCACTTATCCCAGATGCACCTACCTCTGAACAGTACATCAGGGAGTTCTTATGGCCAGCACTCAAAATACTCACTTTTCAGCTACTTCCCTCTCCTAGGGCTGCAGTGTCTCATCCCACACAGCAGTGCTGAGAGCACAGAAAATAAAATATGCTTCACTGTGAACATTTACCATCCCTTACCACACTAGTAGTACTGGCCATATCTGATCTGCTATCCCTGGTGCCAGTTTAAATTAGTATTTACCCACATATAACCATATGCAATTTAAACAAAAAGCAGTTATTAAAGAACTTGTGCTATACAAAATAGCCCTGCTGCTTCACTAATAACAGCTCTGGTGGCTCACAGGACCACAGGCTAGGAATGAACAACTATGGAATTATTTTCCTCATTATGTTCCAGACATGGACTGACTGTCAGGACTGTCAGGCTGTTTAAGCCTTCGGAATTTTGCATTTACATAACAACAGTTATGCAAAAGAAAGTCTGTTCAAAATGAAACGCTCCTCTTAATCATCGTTTAATACTGTCAGCTGCAGAAGAACAGCCAGGTTTTTCCTCTCATTCACTCTTCTTCCCCCAGGGAAGTTTCTGAAATAGCACTGTTGAGCCAATTACTACAGATTGCTGCAACCAAACCCGGGGAAACGAGGCATTTTAAATAATTACTTCTATCTCCGTTATTTAACTCTATTCAGGCCTTTGGAGATGCCCTATGCAACGTGAGAGCTGCACGCACACAATGCTGTTGTGTACACATCATCCTGCTCTAAGTGTGCTTTTAACTGATCTGAACTCCCCATCCTGTCCACGAAAACATCACCAGGCTTTTCAAAAGAACGGTGAGAGCTGAGTTCAAGAATGAGCAGGTAGGTTCTTGCCAGGCTGTCTGCAGCACTGACAGTGAATCGGTGACGCAGGGCAGGACTGAGGAACACCTGCTCCTGCCAGCTCCTGGGAAGATGTTTCCATCCTTCCCTCGGGGTAAGCATGGAAAGGTGCAGGGTACTGCAGAAACCTGGAGTTATGACCTCTGCTCACAGCTACAGAGATAACAACATCCATACCCACAGGCACCTGCTACAAAGACTGCACCAATGCAATCTGTACATTTAATCACCCCAGCATTGAGTGTTGTGTAATATTTGTTTACTGACACTTCCTCCTGAACTCCAGCCCTCCTGTGACCTCTGCAGTCACACTTCAGGCAGCTGCCACCTGAGCAGCACCTCATTCTCTGCCAGAAAGCTGATCTGAGGCCACGGGCTGCACGTCAGGAACCTCATCAAATTCCTGGCAGGAACTTTCTAAAAACGTTCGGCCTCCTCTTCTTAAAAAGGGAAAGTTTACCTGCATTTGCTGGTGTGTCACGCACGTTGCATACATGATATAGTAACAGTTACACAAGGATGGGAGCAGACCTCCCAGGGAGAGCCACACATGGATTTTAATAATTACAGCTGGCACCAGGTGTCAGAAGGGCAGCAGCTCCCAGCACCTCTTACCACTGACAGCTCTAACCAGTGGTCAGATGGGGCTTCTTGTTCTTTATCTCTCCAGTTTATGGATAAACTAGGATGGGGGAAGTCCAAAGCAGCTCTATCACTTTATCAGTTTGGGTGAGTATCAAATCCCAGCAACCTTTAACTCCCCAAAAGAAAAGAAACAAACTAGCCTAACAGAAGGAACTCCATCTTTATGCGCCTAGTGTTGTGACGACAGTGAAAGGGACCCAGAGCAAAGGTTTTACAGCGGTTACGGTACTGCTTTATACACCACACGACGCATACAGTGCTTCGCAGACACAGAACGCCGTCCCTGCCCAGAGAGCTTACAGCCTATAGGAGCAGCAGCACGAACAGAGAGCGCGGCCAGGCGGCAATGGACACGGAGCGCAGCACAGCCAACGTCTGTCAAGGCGGGATTTCACACGGGACAACGGCAAACGCGGACAAAGGAGAGCAGCGACAGCCCCCGGGAACACGGCAGGGTTTTCCCTCAGCCCCGAACCGCGGCGAAGCGGAGGGCACAGCCTTTCTGTGTCAGCCGCTCTCGGGTCGGGGCCGCGCAGCGTACGGAGCTCCAGGGGCCGCCCGCAGCGCGCGGGGAGCGCGGCCGGACGGCGTGTGGTGCTGCGGGCGGAGCTCCCGGCGCGGAGGGCCGAGACCGAGCGAGCGCGGAGAGGAGCGGCGGCGACTACGCGGGCGGCCGGCAGCGGTGCGGGGCGCGGCCGCTGGGGGCGGCGCCGGGCGGTACTTACGGGGCCGCGCTGCTGCCGGGCGGGACGCGGGGCCGTCGCTCGGTGCTCGCCGCTAGCGCGCCGGGGCCGCATCCTCATAGCGGGGCGTCCCGCGCCGGGCCCGCGGGGGCCGCTGCGGAGACAGGAGCCGTTAGCGGGGAGGGCCGCGCGGGATGGGCGGCGCGAGCAGAGCGGAGCGCGCCGAGCTGCGGCTGGCGCGTTCTAAGATGGCGGCCGCGGGCCTACGCCGCCTCACCCCGACCTGCCGCCGCGCCGCAGGCCCGCCGGCCTCTCTCTCCGTTGCGGAGACCCCCGGCCGCGCGGGAGCGCCGCTTACCTGGGCGTGAGGCTGGGGGCTGTGGGCACCGCGCACCGTCGCGCTTCCCGCCGCCGCCCCACCTCCGCCTCACCCGCCCCGCCGCCGCCATCTTGCGCCGGGACCGCGGGCCGGCAGCGCGCAGGCGCGGGCCGCCCCGCCCTAGGCACTGCGCAGGCGCCGCCGCCGGGACGCCCTCTCGCGCACGCGCGTCACCCTCCGCGCCCGGGCGCGCTGGCGGTGCGCTTGCGCGGTGCGCGGCCCGCGCTTTTGTAGACGGAGCGGCGCATGCGCGCGCCGCGACACCGCCGTCTGCCCCGGCGCCATCTTGAGTGTGGCGCGCCGGCACCGCCCCGCTATGGGCAGGGCCGGGCCCGGCCTCGCGGCCACGTCCGCCCGCCGCGGGCGGTTCCCATCAGGCGGGGCGAGGCCGCCGGCGGAGCGGCTTTGAAGTGCGGGGCGGGGCCCGCAGCGCTGGCGGCGAGCCGCGGTCGCCCACCGCGTTCCGTCCGCAGCGCCGCCCGTCCGGCACTTAGCGGTGCGGCTCCGCCGCGTGTGGCCGCGGGGCGCGGCGCTGGGCGGGGCCGGGCGGGGCCGCGGGCGCGCAGCCAGGAGCCCAGAGCCGCAGCCTCGCCTGGTGGCCGTGGCTGCCGGGAAAGCGCGGCGCGACACCTTCCGACGCGGGGCGATTCTCCCCATCCGCGGCCCCGACGCCCCGCCCTTTGCCTCCCCCTGCCCGGCCGTGAGCTCGCACGGCTTTCCTTCTGCCCGCGGCCGCCTGACCCGCTCGCTCCCGCTGGAGGCCTGCCCTCTGCACCCGGAGCACTGGGGTCAGTGTAACAGTTAATGCTGGCGAAGCAGTTTGGAAGGGATAAGTGCTGTGCAAGCACCCGGTCTCCTAAGTCTCTCTGTTTCCAGAGCGTGAGCCCCCACAGCCCGGCTGTGTGTGTGCAGATAATCGCCCCGACCACAAAGTGCTGGCTCAGACCAACTCCGTTCTGCGGGCGCTTGGAGGAGGGGGAAGGAGGGGCTCAGCAGGATTTGTCCGAGGTTCCACGGACGGAAAGCACCAAGCCTTGTCCTTTGGAATGCAGAGGGGCTTGCGGTGAAGCATAGGCAGCGCTTTGTCTCTCCCGGGCTGAGCGGTGCCGCTGTGCTGCACATTGCTGGCAGCGCCGCTCTTCCTGGCCTCTTGGCGATGGGCACTTAATGGATCAGAAAGGGAACGTGGGCATGCTGGCTCACTTCTGCAGTGCCTCTCACAGAACTGAGCACATCTGTGTCTGCTCAGCTGCTGGAAGCAGGCTGGGGATGAGCCCTGATACGTGCCAGGCTGTTAGAGTGGCTCTGTGGCTCCAGCAACCACAGCAGCTTCCCTGTCTGATGCTCACCTCACAGATGGGCACAAAGCAGTTCCCGTTGTACCTCTGTCCCAAGGGACTTGTGTTCAGCTGCAGCCGTGGCACAGAGCCCACTGGGCAGTGCTGGAGCTGGCAGAGCACGGTGGGGAGTTTAGCACCAGCAGGACTGGGGGTCAGCACTTCCCCAAAATGATGAAGCCACCCTGCGCTGCGCGGCTGGCGTCCCCAAGCCCTTCATCCTCCTGTTTGCTGTGTCTCCTCCCAGCTGTGGGCTCACAAGGGGTGGCGGCTGGTGGGATATATAAACGCAGGGGAGCCTGAGCCAGCTCAGAAGAAACTCCTGAAGCTGCTGGTGTTCTCTCTCTCTCCCTTCACGTGATTCAGTTTCCCCAGACCAGAGAAGCCGAAGACAAGTCATACTGTAAGTATACAAACTTAGCCAGCATTGTGTAGGCGAGCTGCCCCAGTCTGAGCGTGGCCCTCCGGGACGGATGGAGGCTCTGGATCCTGAGCAGAAGGGGTTCTGTCCTCTCCCTTGCAGAGAACTGAGCAGAAACACGGCGGGGAAGCCCTGTGCTGTCCCTGCCATCCCGAAGGCAAGTCTGCCTTTTCCTGCTGGATGAGGAATCTCTGGCTCTGTCCCAGCCCAGCTGCAGGGTATGGGACGCAGACAGGCAGTGCTAATCCTTGGGGAGCATTTGGGGCTGCTCCCAGGGCTAGAAAGCCCATGGGAGAGGAATCCCTTCCCTTTGCGGTGCTGGGGTTCCCCATGAGGCTCACCTCACCCTGCAAGCAGGGGAGCTGGCTGTGCTGGGGAAGGGCAGGATGCTGCTGGTACCGAGGGCAGTGGCTGTCCCCAGGCGGGGCTGATCCTGCAAGCCCACGGAGTCTGTGCTGGGGGCTTGCACATAGCAAGGGGTGCTCGCCCTCTCAGGTGTTGGGAACCAGAATACCGTTGTGGGATTTCAGGGTGTGGGATACAGCAGGGCCACGGGATGGTCCTCTCATCAGCCTCTGCCCGGGCTCCTGTGCTGAGAGCAGGTTTGGGCAGTTAGCCACAACCCTGCCGGGTGGCTGGGCTTCCCCCGTGCGCTCTGCTAGCCCGGTGCATGCTGACCCTGCGCTCTGCCCCCAGGTGCGAGATGGCTGCCGGCAGCCGCCGCCTCCTCCTCCTGCTCCTGCTGCCCTGGCTGGCCGCAGCCTCGCACAGCCCTCCCGGCTGCAAGATCCGGATTACCTCCAAGGGGCTGGACCTCGGTAAGGGGCTGGCCAGGACCCTGATCCCAGGCAGGGCGGGGAGCCAGCTTGCACGGTGGGACCGGCAGGGTGGGCTATGCTGGTAGAGTGCGGTACAGCCCGGCTGTGGGCAGCCCAGGCTCATTTTGCATTGCAGTGAAGCAGGAGGGTCTGCGCTTCGTGGAGCAGGAGCTGGAGAACATCACAGTGTCAGACCTGCACGGGAAGGAGGGGCAGTTCCACTACAACATCAGCCAGTGAGTGCTGCCTGCTCCCTGCGCGCAGCAGCCCCTGGGTCGGCCTTACCGTCCCCTCCCTGGCAGGGTCAAGGTGATGGACCTGCAGCTGCCATTTTCCAACCTGCACTTCCAGCCGCAACAGAACCTCGCCTTCGACATCAACAACGCTTCCATCAGCCTGCGCTTCAGGCGGCAGCTGCTCTACTGGTTCTTGTGAGTTACTTTCCCTTGCCCACCAGCCTGTCCCACAGCTGGGCCGTGGCCCAGGAATGTCACAGGTGCCATGCTGCCCAGTCCTGGAGCTGATAGGATCTGTGTCCTCCTGTCTGTTCCCCTGGTTTCCAGCTACGACATTGGATCCATCAATGCTTCTGCTGATGGTGTCCACATCCATACTGTGCTGCAGCTGGCCAAGGATGAGGTTGGACGCCTCAAGATTTCCAACATGTCCTGCAATGCCTCCATTGCCAGAATGCACGCAGGATTCTCTGGCACACTCAGGTACACTGATGCGATGGTGGCAGCCATGCCCCTGTGCCCGGCAAGATGAACTCAGGCCATGCCTCGTGTTTTTGTGGGAAGGGAGGTGGAGGGACAGGGCTGGAAGGCTACTGCAAAGCTGTTCTGTCCTGCAGGAAGGTCTATGAGTTCCTGAGCACCTTCATTGTCACAGGGATGCGCTTCCTCCTCAGCCAGCAGGTAGGGCTGTGAGCAGAGATGGGCAGAGCTCTCCTGACTGCAGTCGGGAGGGCCTGACTCAGGGATGCTGGAGGCAGCCTGGGTCCTCCTCTAGACCAGGAGTTCTGGCCCCACTGCTGAGTGATTCCCCACAGATCTGCCCATCCCTGGAGCATGCCAGCCTGGTGCTGCTGAACTCCTTGCTGGACACAGTGCCAGGTAAGTAGGATAAGACCAGACCCTGCTCACTGCACCATATGCAGAGCTGAGAAAAGGACTGCAGGCCACCCTGTAGGCTTTCTTCTCACAGCACCTCTTCCTTGGCAGTAAGGAACTACGTGGATGAGCACATTGGGATTGACTACTCCCTGCTCCGTGATCCAGCTGTCTCCCCAGAAACCCTCGACCTGGACTTCAAGGTGTGGCACCAGATTCTGCCCTGCCTCTCCCAGTCCTGTTGGCACAGCTCTGCATCAACTCATGCAATGGGCACAGCAAGCTGTGCTGCAGCTGCAGAAACAGTCACTATTCTGGGCCCAGGGCATGTTCTTCTATCGTGCGAGGGAGGACCAGGAGCTGGAGAACCACGCGGTGGAGCCGGTGATCAAGGAGACTGAGCGCATGGTTTACGTTGCCTTCTCTGAGTACTTCTTTGACTCAGCCATGCACGCATACTTCCAGGCGGGTGTGCTGGCCATAGAGCTTGAGGGGGAGAAGGTGAGCAGCACAGTTTGACACTGCACACAGGCCGGCGTGGAGAAGGGGTGCCGCCTGGGGGAGGTGGGGTGGGCTCCACACAATTTCAGGACGTGCTGCAAGGGCAGAAGCTCTGCAGGGGGCAGCAGTGCCAGCTCTGTTACCCCTGAGGTTTGTCCTCGCTGCAGGTACCCAAGGACCTGGAGGTTCTGCTGAGAGCCACCTTCTTTGGGACCATCTTCATGCTGGTGAGAGGAGCTCTCCACTGGGGCAGGAGAGGTACAGGACCCCCTCCTGGGGCGGAGCAGTTCTGCCCAGACTGGCTCCCCTGCCCTCTCCTCAGAACCCTGCTGTGGTGGATGCTCCCTTGCGGCTGGTGCTTCAGGTGTCAGCTCCCCCCCGCTGTGTGATCAAACCCTCGGGGACCTCCGTCTCTGTCTCTGCCTTCCTCAACATTTCGCTGGTACCTGCAGACCGCCCTGCTGTCCAGCTTTCCAGCATGGCCATGGTGGGTGCTGCTGCAGCCAGCTTGCCTGTGCCCGCCCAAGTACACAGGGCAGGAGCACTGCACCCCACCTGGGATGTCACCAACATCCTAAAGATGGGAGCAGCACCCATGCTGTCCTGCTGCCTGCCCATGCTGGCTGCAGCAGGGTTTCCATGCAGCTCACTCTCCCCATAGGAATCAAAGCTGAGTGCCAAGGTGTACCTGCAAGGGAAAGCACTGCGCGTGCAGCTGGACCTGCGACGGTATGGCCCACACTGGGGTCCCACCAGGGCTCCAGGGACAGTCCCCTCTGCCCCAGCTCACAGCTGCTTTCCCTCCCTGCAGGTTTCGCATCTATTCCAAGCAGTCAGCACTGGAATCTCTGGCGGTGAGCAGACCCTGTACCAGCCTGGAGTATGGGAGGGTCCAACTGTCCCGGGTAGCTCCCAGCCACGGCAGGGAGCAGCTCTGGGAGGGCTGTGCAGGATCCCCCTTCATCCACCCTCGAGAAACACAAGCAGGCCCTACCTTGCCCAGCAGCTCTGCACTCATTCTGCCTCCCCTCCCCACAGCTGTTCTCACTGCAGGCCCCGCTGAAAACTCTGCTGCAGCTGACAATCATGCCCATCATTAACGGTAAGCATCACCACTGCCTGTGCGTGGCAAGGCTTGAGGCAGTGTCATGGGGCTTACTGCATCTCCTCCTCCGTGCAGAGAGGACAAAGAAGGGTGTGCAGATTCCTCTGCCAGAAGGCATGGACTTCACCAGGGAGGTGGTCACCAATCACGCGGTGCGCGAGCAGGACAAGGACGACTCCAGCCCCTCCAGCAGACACGGGCACCGTGTGCTGGCAGCTGTAGGCACAGCTAGTCCTGTGCCAATACTTCTTTCCTTTGCAGGGATTTCTCACAGTGGGAGCTGATCTCCACTTCTCCAAGGGGCTGCGGGAAGTGATCGAGAAGTACCGCTCCACCCCTGCAGTCCCTGCTGAGCCCACAGTGCAGCCCACAGCAGCCAACACAGACCCCCACCAGCTGTAGCTCTGCTTACTTGCTCCTTCACCCTGGACAAAGGTCAGATCCCGGGCTGGACCCATAGGCTGTAGGTAGGAAGCAACATCCCCAATACCACTCACACATCCTGCAGGGCATCTGCACCCAGGTGGGCAGCAGCAAGGTGGAGACAGCTGCTCTGGGAATCCCTGTTGCACCCCTTCTCGTACACTAATAAACGACTGAATGCTAGCTTGCACTGCTTTGTTGCTTGGAGGATGAGCCCACTCCAGACCACATAGCTGCCAGCTCTGAGGGAGAGCTCTCCGCCTGCTTTTGGGACAGTCTGTTTTCAGGAAGCCCCAGTGCCCTCCACAGAAAGGGAAACACAAGCTCTGGCTCCCAAGGACACCGTGCACAGCACATTAGCACTCACTGCTGCTGGAGCCTCTGTTAGGAACCACTCTTGAGACAGCAAAAGAAAGCAAAGCAGGGGATAGCAGAGAGGTGCAAGGAGTTCATTAATGAGGAGCAGGACCACCTTATTCAGAGTTTATTGTGGGTTCCCAAGAGCACTGTGTGACCTAGGCAGTGAAACTGTCTTCATTGTAAATTGCCTTTCACTGAGGTCAGGTTGGGAGTGGTTTCAAAGGGAGCAGAAAGCCCTTGCAGGGGAGCCCACGGCCACCACATCAACTGTGCTTAGCAGAGAGCAGCTGGCTCAGAGCCTGCCCAGGCCACATGTGTACAGAGGCTGCAGGACAGAGGGAAGTGGTGAGGACTGCTCCCAGCCTACGAGGGAAGTAGTTGCCTCCAGAAACAGGGAGGAGGTGAGACAGGAAGCCACAGCAAAGAGACAGCTGCAGTGCCCAGCAGGGATGGCATCCCAAGGACTCCTCTCCCTGCACCCTGCAGAAAGCCCGCCTCTAGGCTAAGCATAGCCCTTGGGGCCCGGGGAATCCCTGCCGGCTGCAGTCGTCACTTTGTTCATGACACAGGGGAGCCCTGGTGCAGCCGAGTGGCAGTGATGAGCTGTGCAGGAGGTGACTGTTGTACGCAGGCAGCCCAAGGCCCTGGGCACAGCCTCCCCAGCTCCTAGTACGGCTCATTCTTAATGAAACGGCTGAACATGGTGAAGGCAGCGAGGGGCTGGTCTGTAGGCACCATGTGGCCGGCTCCCTGCAGGAAACAGGTGCCAGCAGTCAGTGCCCTCCGTGGCTCCACTACCGCCTGGCCCACGGCTCCAGTGTCAGCCATGAGTGACCACAGTGGGACCAACTGCAAGGCACCACCTCAGCCCTACCTTAACAGTGAGGAAGGCAATGTTGGTGAACTCTTTCACGAAGCCCCCGATCTGGTTCTCACCTCCTTCAGTGTAGAGCCAAGGTCGGCGAGCCACCTGCACCTGGGAATAGAGACAGCACCCTCGGTGCCCAGCCCCACAGACCCCACCGCTTCCCCCTGTATCTGGGCTGATCCCTGGATCAGCCAGGCCTCACTCTGCCCATTTACCTTCTGGCACAGGGAGTCCACGAACCACTCATCCCCAAGGAAATTGCAGGCCATGTCGACATCCCCATTGTACACCAGGATTCTGTATTTCTGAAGAGCAGGAAGAGCATGAGCACCGCACAGGGCACGGCCCTATCTGGGAGGGCTGCTTCCATGGGCTGCGTGCTCCCCCACACATACACACCATGGCTCCAAGAAGTTTGAGGTACTGGTCATTCATCTGCGTGTACAGGCGCTTGTAGCTGCGGTTCACCTCGAAGCTGCAGAAGAAGCAGCAGTGGCTCAGCAGCTGCTTGTGCCACACACTCAAACCCCACCTGTGTCTTGCTCACCTGCACACCTGCCACTCTGGGGCATCGGGGGAGATGTGGAGAGCCTTCCTCACTTCTGGGGAGTTCAGATACATGGTCGGTGCTGTGGAGTTGGTGCACGGTGGGTCCATCCGCACCTTATTGCGGGCTACAGGCATCCGGAACAGGTTCTGGGAGAGTTGGGATAGCCCTGCAGCAGCACCTCAGCACTGCCCACAGGGAGAGCTGCCCCATCCCCTACTGTGCAGGTGCAGGGTGCTGGCAGCACACTGTGACAGGGACCCACACTCACCTGGCGCCAGGAGAACCTCATTGGCATCCGGATGAAGGAGTTTCCCAGGTCATGTGTGACGAGATAGTCACCCTCATACCTGCAGGCAGACCAAGCACGGCCACAGGGTGAGAGCTCTGGAAGAGCAAGGGCTTGGGATAACGGCCCCAGGCCCACCACCAGGAAGAAGTGGCCACAGAAGCAGTGTCTCTGCCAGCCCCCTGCTGCTGGTAGGGATCTGCATGCTGCTTGCGATTGGGGATAGCGCTGCTGCTGTTGCCACTCTCACCTCATGCTTCCAGGAACACCGCCAGCACACGGGGCGTAGAGATTGTAGATATTGAGCCCAGACTCCTCTACAATCTCAATCATCTCTGCCATCTGCAATGAGCCACAAGCAGGACGGGTTCAGGACTCAGCTTGAAGGACCACAGCACACACCCAACACCAAGCACAGTGCTGCTGCTTGTAGGAGTTGGAGCAGGGCTCGGGGATTCCAGCCTTCCCTCACCTTAAGCGTGCAGTTCAGGTTGGAGTTGTCATGGAAGTTGCACTTCCCTTCAGAGCAGCAGAAGGCCTGCAAGTCCTTCCACAGCCTGCAGGCAGAAACCAAGAGTTGGAGTGATCCACCAGAGCCCACCCTGCTCTGTGCCACAGGGACCAGCAGCACTCCCCCCAGCAGTGCTCCCCGCTCTCACTGGGTGCCCAGCAGGCCATGGTAATAGGCGAAGTACACCAAGGAGTTGTCGTTGATCTCATAGGAGGAGAGGCCATTTCCCACAGCGATTCCCTGCGGGGCAATAAGAAAACAACTCTGTGGTGTGGCAGCTCCTCACAGGGCAGCCACAGAGCATCGGCGTCAGGCAGGAAGCAGATGTGGCTCTGTTTACTTCACGGGGGGAAGAGGAAAGGCCATGGGCGCCTGGGAGCACTCCTCAGTCTCACGCAGCAGAACACGTTCACCGCCAGCACCCAGGGAGATGAAAGGCTGTGGGGCTGGGGCTGCCCCATGCAGCGTGCTGAGCCCCAGCAAGGCCATGCCCTCACCTTGAGGTTAAGGCTGGGGTCCTGCATCACCCACTCTGCCAGAGTGGGGATGTAGATGCCGCCGTAGCTCTCCCCTGTGAGGAAGAGGTCGTTCTTGGAGTACTCGGGGAAGAGCCGCAGGAACTCCTTCAGCGCCAGGTAGTTGTTGTGTGCGACCTGCAGGGACAGCAGATGGCATCAGCGGGGTGGCACTGGGCCAGCAGCTCCGGGCTGGGCCTGCAACAGCCTCACCACTCACCTCGGTGTCGTTGGTAGCATACTTCTTGTCCTCGGAGTATGAGAAGCCAACGCCTGCAGGGGACTCCAGGTAGAGCATGTTGGCAATCTGTGAGGACAGCAGAGGGGCAGGGGAGCATGGAAGTCCAGGGAGCTCCCGGCACAGAGGGCCAACGGCCTTCACCTATGGCACCATTTGTGTGTGGCCCACCCCAGTGTTGCAATGAGAACCTCATCCCTGCTTTGCAGTGAGCTGGAGGGGAGGGGGGCAGCACAGAGCAGTTCAGAGCCATGGTTCCCCACAGCTTGGGTGGGGCAGGAGCCGCTCCCTGCCTGCGGCAGGGCCCATACCTTGTTCCAGGCGTAGTCATTGTACTTCAGCGTGACCCCATCGGGCTGCACCTGAGGAGGGAGTGGAGACTGATAAGTGGCACAACACAGGGCCCAAGACACCACCCACATCATGGAGCCCTGCAGACCCCAGGCAACTGTGACCACTGACCAGGAAGGGGCCGTGCTCTTTCAAGAAGCCTTCCATGGAACTGCAGCCAGGGCCCCCGTTCAGCCATAATACCAGAGGGCTGCTCTGCGGGTTGTTCTGGGCCTCCACGAACCTGCGGGGTGAGTGATGCGAGTACCCAGTGCCCAGCCAGCACCGTTCCCACGCACCAGTACCACGTCCCAGCCCGGCCCTACATACCAGTAGTGCAGGCGCTGCGTCGGCCCGATGCACAGGTGCCCTGAGAAGTGGCGGAAGGACGGCTGCTTGGGCAGCCCGGGCAGGAACGTCACCTCATGGCCCGCGGGCGCGGCGTGGGCCGGCCCCAGCCCCAGCAGCAGCGCGCACAGCAGCGGCAGCATCTGCGGAAGGCACAGAAACGGCGATGCCGAGGGCCCGGACACACGCAACGAACCGCACCGAGCTCCGCCGCCCCGCACCGATGCGGCGCCTCTCGCCGGTCCCGACCCTGCCGGCACAGTCCCAGCGGGATCACTCCCTTCTACCACGCCCGGTGCCGTACACCGCTCGCCCCGCTCACCCCGCACCCCGATCCCGCAGCGCCCCGCAGCACATGACCCGCGCCCATATGACCTCCGAGCGGTCACGTGCCGTTGGGCGGGGCTTCGAGGAGGGAGCGGGGACAGCCTTAGCCAATCGGCGCGTCGTTTGCGGCAGCTGGCCACGCCCCTCCCTCCACGCCGCGCGCGCACGTGTGAACGAACCGTCCGGCCGCGCCACGCACCGCACTCAGGCGCGGAGGCTGCACCGCCCGGGCGCGGATGCCGCGCGTGGGCCCACGCCGCCCCGGGGCTGTCGCAGTAACCCCGCACGCCCCCGCGCCTCGCGGACACCGCGGGGCACTACGAGCGGGCAGGGTTGCCTGAGTTCCCCGATGTAGGGCGAGGAGCGGGGAGCCCAGGTCCCCGTCCCTGCATGGCCCCGTCCCTGTACGGTCCCGTCCCGCGCAGCCCCGTGGGCAGCACCGGACACCCCGCGCCGCCGCCCTCCCGCGGGGCCCCGTGCGTTAGGACCGGCCCCAGCCACCGCCTGCCAGCAGCTGCCCGGCGCCGCGCGGTTAAAAATAGCGGCGCGGCCATGGCGGCTCCGGGCCACCCTCCCACCCGCTTCCACCGCGTGCACGGCGCCAATGTGCGCCTGGACGCCTCGCGCACACGGGCCACGCGGGTCGAGAGCTTCGCCAACGCGCTGTGCTTCAGCCACGAGCCGCTGGCACCCGGGCAGATCTTCCTGGTGGAGATCGAGGAGAAGGAGCTGGGGTGGTGCGGGCACCTGCGCGTGGGGCTGACGGCGCACGACCCGCAGAGCCTGGGCACCGTGCCCGAGTATTCGCTGCCTGACCTGGTCGGCCTGGGAGACACCTGGGTGTTCGCCA